TAATAAAAATTACACAATATAAACAAAGTAATTAAAATCAAATTAATTAAAATCAAACAAATAATCCAATTACGTAACTCGTCAATAAAAAAAAAAAAATAAAAAAAAATAAAAAAAAAAAAAAAAAAAAAAAATTACACAATATAAACAAAGTATTTAAATTAAACAACAAGTAAACAAACAAATTAAACAAATAAAAATCAAACAAATAATTAAATTATGTAACTAATTAAAAAACTAATTAAAATTTAAAAATTAAATTCAAACTAATTAAATCAAACTAAAATTAATTAAAATTTAAAAAACAAAATACAAACAAAGTAATTAAATTACGTAACTAATTAAAAAACTAATTAAAATTTAAAAATTAAATTCAAACTAATTAAAAAACGCATTAAAATTACGTAACTAGGTCAATGATGACGTCACAAGGTCACCGGTGCTGACCTACTCCGCATCCGCATCCCCCACCCTAGGGTGGGTGAGTATTTTACTATATCTCGTTGTACCTCCGGTTCACCCACCCTCACCCACCTTCACCCAGGTGGGTGAGTATTTTACTATATCTCATTGTACCTCCGACTCACCCACCCTCACCCAGGTGGGTGAGTATTTTACTATATGTCGGTGTACCTCCGCATCACCCAGGGAGTATTTTACTATATCTCGTTGTACCTCCGGCTCACCCACTCAACCCAGGTGGGTGAGTATTTTGCTATATGTCATTGTACCTCCGCATCCGAGTATTTTCCTATATAGCCTTTGTTCCGCATCCGCATCCGCATCCCCCTCACCCATACTACCCAAAAGTGACCTAATATACTACTAGCGTAACTGCGGAAATAAATAATTTTCAAAGGTTAAACTAGTCACATAAAAAGGTAAAATTTATGCTATATTTTTTAAATTTAAAAGTTGGTTCGGCAACAGAATTTCGCATCTTCGAAATTGCGCACTCAAAGAAATTCTCACCGTGTAGTGGTATTGTTATAACTTTGTTTAACTACGGCGTATTACATTTGCAGTATCTGTAAACTCCGGATCTGTATAAAAATCTCTGAAGTATCTATAAACTCCAGTTTTTATGTATATTACATTTGGAGTATCTCTAAACTATGGATCGTTATCTCAGAGATTGAAACAAATAACTGCTGATGTAGCGGTTATTCATACAATTGACAGAACTAGAGCCTGCTCGTGTCACGATACTTCAAGATACACTAGTACATTGTATCGTTGGGGCGAGGGTTGGAATTGTATATGATACATGGGTCATTAATACATGTGTCATTAACACATGGGTCATTAGTAGATTGGCCCTCAATATATGAGTCTGTAATCACTGGGTCATTAATAACTGGGTAATTAATACCTGGGTCATTAATACCTGGGTCATTAGTAGCTAGGTCTTCATATATATGAGTCTCTAGTATCTGGGTCATTAATACATGGGTCTTTAGTAGATCGGTCTTCATTATATGAGTCTCTAGTACCTGGGTCATTAATACTGGGTCATTAATACCTGGGTAATCCCGTGTGCTGATACTTGGGTCATCCACTATTGTGTATGGTGTACGGGTCACCATGATACCCCCGTGCGGAATATTCCAGCCGAGGTCAGCCAGTTCACGTGGGGCGCTAAAAGGATTTTCAGCATTGACGTCTCGGATACAGGATGCCATTAACATGGCCTGACATGCGCAGTCGCCAGACAGCTTAAGAGACGCGCTAATGGAAATGTTTCTACCTGGACAATTAGTGCACTCAGGGAGACAGCCCAAAGTTCGACCCAAGACGTTTGTTTGCAATAAGAAAGATCTAGTAATTTTACTTGAAACCATTCTTAAGTTTGTTATAAGACAAGTATAGACATTTTTACTTTGAATAATTCTTAATTAAAAATACACCAAAATAGTGATGCAAATGTGTGAAATAAAAATGTAAACATTTGGACATATTGATGTTGTGATAGTATCACAATAAGCCAAGGATAACGACACACAGAACTCTAAAAATATCATTAGCTAAATCTCTAGTGAAGTAAAAAAAAAGTTTTCTCGATTACTTCCCCTTGATAAATGTTTTTTTTTTTTCTGAATTAAGTTCCTAATTATTTTCTGATTGTAACGACTTAATTTCAACCAGATATGTAAACAAAAGATTGCACGATTTGCGCATGGGAACTACACTTGGCTAAAAATAACTTGGGTTTTATATTCTATAAATTTATAAATCTTTAAGATGTCGATCATTACTAGTGGGCGGATTTATGTTAAGTAGCCAACATCAGCTAAAATAGATGACCCCTGTCTGCCTAGCATTGACCCTTTAAAAAAACGTTCCAAAAATGGTGGTGTCTTTCAGACAACCACTTTAGCTTTCTTATTTTCTTTTTTTCCACCTTGTCGCCTTATTGCCGAGTCGTGTTAACAATACCCCTGCAACCGTAGACTCATGTAGCGTTTGGGTACTCGTACTACGCTCAGTTACTGCTGCTCTTCGTCACGAGTACCGTGCATCTATTACAGGATGGTCCCGGGGTGGGGGGGGGGGGGGCACGAGCGATAAACCAGCAGGAGATGCCAGTATTCTACCGGCATCCACGGGCGGTTCCGATACCTGTTGGTATCGCTGTAACCCGCCACCCGATTTCCGTTTCGATACCACACGTAAACTGGTGTAAAACTCTCGTGTTTGACGGCACTGTTTGACCGTTGCATCGATGTTTGTCCAGTGTCCACATATCCACGCACCGGGGTGTAGACAAACACTGTACCCACGCTCACCGTTACAGAGGGTGGGGGGAGGGGGGTCGAGCCGGTTCGTTGTCGTCGATTCGCCCAGGCGCGACTTTTTGCGCTGTTACCTGCCGAGGTTGTAAGAGGGCGATTACTCACACCACGGCGGCTCACACTTGCTGCCCGGTCTATCAATGAAAACAGAATCACGCCAGCACCATCGTCTGTCCACTTCACTGGGATTAACGCCACTGGGATTAACTCCCCCGGATTAGTCGTTTAACACCCCTGGACATGTGGGTTAATACATCAGGACTTGTCGGGAATTTTTTTCAAACTTACAACCGTTTGATGCTCAGTGTTCGGTGTTGTGGTGTTCTCTGTGTGGTGTTCGACATGTGGACTGGTGTCCGTGTGTCTAGATGATTGGTGTTTACAGACTACGGATTTCTAAATAACTGTCGTTCTGACCTTGACCGCGATTTGTGATTTGCGCTTTATCGATTGAATATACGACTCTCCTCCTGGATAAACTGTTTTTAAGTCGTTTTTGTGGATTTGTTAAGTGGTTAATACAAAACATGACTGGTAAAATCCAGTCACAGTGTAGTGAAGGCAAAACGATCATCTTATTCCCATAGCTTTAATATAATAACAGGATCAAGGTATCCCCCTTTAGAGTGCACATAAGTCAGGGAGGCAACTTAGGAGAGGTAACTTAGGAGAGGTAACTCATGAGAGGTAACTCACGAGGCAGTGAGCGACGTCATTGTTAGCGTCTGCTACGGGCACGAGTTTGCCATTCACCCAGTTTACCGTGGCGTGGAATAAAAATAGATTTGTTTTTATAAGGTCATGAAACGCTGGCGGATTGAGTGAGGAGAACTTGACATAGACAATTTTTTTTGTCGATCTGTTCTTGTCGAACAATTTTTTTTGTCGATCTGTTCTTGTCGTAAAACTAGAACACTAGTGTGATGGAGAACTTGACATAGACAATTTTTTTTGTGTCGATCTGTTCTTGTCGTAAAACTAGAACACTAGTGTGATGGAGAACTTGACATAGACACATTTTTTTGTCGATCTGTTCTTGTCGTAAAACTAGAACACTAGTGTATGCTGCGGGACTTGATCTAAGTGTGTGTGTGTTTTATTTTCTAAGGAATCAATTCATTTCATTTAGTTGAAGAAAACTTGTGCGGAAAACTATTTTTATTCTGAAGGAAAACTTAAGAGAGATTTAAGTTTCACTTACAATCTGACAGTTTCTGTGTGATTTTTGGCACGGAAATGACGTAACAAGGGACCTGATCATGGTGCTAGAAAGCTCCCAGACCTCCCCGCCTCAATTCCGGAACTTCAGCCCGTACGGCTCGTGTTCGCCGAGGATTCGAACCAACCTCCGTCTGGCGACGTCCGTGCCCTGCAACCTCAACCACTTGGCCGTCTCGCACGCGCCGGTCGTGTTGTTCGGACCCCCCAACCCTCCCCGTCCCTCCCCCCTGAGGATCCCCTCCACCTCGTCGACCGTCGGTACGTCATCAGACGACGATGAGCTCAACTCTCCAACAGATGCGGTGGTCACGCCGAACGTCCAGCCAAACGTCCAGCCCAGGTTCGCAACTTTCGCCTCTCGTGAGGTCAACGCGGGCTCGGACTACAGCGACGAGGACGAGGCTGATCGAGGGGTGTGTCCCCGGCCCGGCCATCTCAGGTTCTCTACCCGAGCCCCACTACAACCGTCCTACTCCCTGCCCCTGTACACAACCCTAACCCAGCCCCCAACCCTAACCCAGCCCACCGGACTAAACCAACCCGGTCAAGCCTACTCCCCCTCTGGGTACCCCCAGCTTCCTCCCTCCCCCCTCCACTCCTCCCACCACTCCCCCCTCCACTACTACCGCCGCAACCACACGTGGACGCCAACCTCGACCCAAGTCCTCGCCCAGAGACCACTGTCCAGTCTCACCAACAACATCACGCGGGGGTCAAGGTCATATTCCAACAGCTCCATCAACACCCTCCCCACCACCCCGAGGTCATTCTCCAGCTGTTCCATCAACACCATACCATCCACGTCGAGGTCGTATTCCAACTGCTCCATCAACACCCTCTCCGACAGCACCAGGCCTTACACCAGCAGCTGCACCAACACAACCACCACCAGCACTAGCACCAGCTGTGTGGGTCCCCCCACGCCCCCCACCGTCATACAGTTCCGGTCCGGCCGGAGACTAAGCCTACCCCATGTTTGTGTTTCAGTCCAGAGACTTGACCTGCAGCGCCAGAACTCGGACGACAACGACGCAGTGCGGGGTCAGATCGTCATCAGCCTCATCTCCAGGGACCGCGGGGCTGGAACATCCGGTCAGCAGGTGCCGGACACGTCGGCCAACTCACCGGCCATACCGTACGACCCCAACGAGTTACCGGAAGGGTGAGTACAAATATTTCTCATTCATGTATAAGTAGACGCATGCAACCATACAACTCTTTGAATGCTTGTCATCATTTAAATGGGGGGGGGAGTTGATATATGGCTAGAGAGGTACTGGGGAGGTTTGGTGTAAAAGATTTTAGCTGTAGCACACCCCTCTCTTATTTTAATTCAAGACCCCCACTTGCCCCAAACACATACTGCCTTAGACCCCTCCCCCCCCACACACACTGCCCCAAACACATAATGCCTCAGACCTCCCCACAACCCCCCCCCCCCCCCCCTAGATCCCCACTTGCCCCTGAACCAAACTTTTCTAAAACCGCCACACATTGCCTAATTGAGGTAACTTAAAGCAATGCATGTTTGAAAGGTAAATCTATGTGGTACTGAGGATTAGATTTACTGACGGTTAAAGTTGTCTGAATGTGCTAGTTTTGTCTGAATGTGCTAAAGTGTGATGTGGTAGTTTGTCTGAATGAGCTAAAGTGTGATGTGGTAGTTTGTGTGAATGAGCTAAAGTATGTTGTGGTAGTTTGTCTGAATGAGCTAAAGTGTGATGTGGTAGTGATCTAATTGAAAACGACAAATGTGTTCTGGCACGGCCTGACTTTCATCCAAAAACCTTCAGACATTTTTGTGGTGACTGTTCACCTGCCTTTTTGGCAGAGGTGTGGATTTTTTTAGGGTCACGGGGTCATCTGTTCGATAGGGTCCCGGGATCATCTGTTTGATAGGGTCCCGGGATCATCTGTTTGATAGGGTCCCGGGATCATCTGTTTGATAGGGTCCCGGGATCATCTTTTTGAAGGGTTCCGGAATCATCTTTTCGCTGGGACCCTCGGGAAATCCTTCTAGTTGGAGCCCAGCTTTATAGAAAGCGATAAGCTAGTCACACTAGCAGCAGCACTAACAGCTCGGCCAAGTGGGTGATAACTGACCTCTACACCGCCTCGGTGCCTCACCCGGGAGGTACAGGGACTAGCCTTGTTACGGCTCGCATTATAGACTGTCATAGTCTTCTTACGGCTCGCATTATAGACTACAGTAGTCTTCTTACGGCTCGCATTATAGACTACAGTAGTCTTCTTACGGCTCGCATTATAGACTACAGTAGTCTTCTTACGGCTCGCATTATAGACTACAGTAGTCTTCTTACGGCTCGCATTATAGACTACAGTAGTCTTCTTACGGCTCGCATTATAGATTTCCATGCTCTTCTTACGGCTCCCATTATATACTTCCACTGTATTATTACAGCTCCCTTGATAGAGGCTAATAGTTTTCTTACGGGCGTCATTATAGTCTAGTTTTACGGCTCCCATTATAGTCTACCATTGTGTTCTTACGGCTCCCATTATAGACTTCCATCAAAATTCCTACAACTCCCTCTCTCTCGTCTGAAATTTTCTGCCTTCTCGTAGACTCGATTACCTGAGCTTATTTTTTTTTTATTAATTAACGTTGAGAACTAAACGCCCATCTGTTTCTTACATAAATTAAGCATGATAATTAAAGTAATAATACCTAATTAATTACAAGATTGGGATTAGTTTGCGTGGAAATGTAAATGCACCAAGCTTATTGTTGAAAAGACGAAAGCAAAAAAAATAATAAAAAATCAAATCCTAAATTAAAATTTAAGGAGTCTTACATCAAAACTAAAAGAGGTTAATTGATTTAAACCGGAAATATAGTGGATTTTAAATTATTTTTGTAAAGCTTACACAATGCATCATTGCCATTAAGATATTATATGAATTCCAGAACACAAAGTTTGATTGGCTAATTAATCCGAAATAAACTTTCTGGTCAGTTAAATTTTGCGGAAAGCAGTTTTGTAGGCCTTCTATATTTATAATAATTGTTTTGGCATTGTCTTAGAAATTGACATTAATGACTTCAATTTCCAATTAAAAGTCAGGTTCCATCCCGAAACAAAGGAATAATTTTTTTTGGTTTTAACAAATTGTTTCTTTTACCGATTCAAATTGTTCCCCACATTTTGATATTCTAAGAATCACTAATGATAGAACTATTAAGTTTGAAGAACTTTTTTTCCATTGACGACATATTTGTCCATTTTCTAGTCATCTAAAGTGCAGTTTAAACTCCGTGTTAATTATTTGTAATAGAGTATGGTACTACAAAATGTTTTGATTCAAGTGCTTACACATACACACAACATAGTTATGACTTAACTTATTAGCATTCTGTCTATTGTCCAATTTTTTTTCACCCATTTGTGTAGCCAACTTGGCGTTGTTAATGACACGAGCTTACCACGACAAACGGAGCTTGATTTGAGCTAATTTACTTCACGCTCGTATCAACACACACACACACACACACACCGCCGACGAACACCCACACACACCCCGCCTACAGACTCGATCCACACACACCTCCTCTCACACACCTCCCCACACAGACTTGCAAGTGTAGAAGTGCTTGTCTTCGAACCTTAAGACAACACCTCTGTAGACAATTTGAGTATTTGTGCCGTGCAGATAAAGGCGACCACCCACTTTCTGACCTTCCAATAAAATAACATTTCATTTTCACCTTGTATTAGGTGCAGGCGGCGAGTGTAGGCTATATGTGCACTGTGTGACATTTGCCAAAATATGACACCGACACAATTATCTCCTCTTGTTACCTCCCCTCAGTAGTTTGGTTATTTCCTCCCATTGCTTGAGTTATCTCCCTTCAATATGTTGGTTAATTCCCAGCATTGCTTGAGTTATCTCCCTTCAATATTTTGTTTTTTTTCCCCCATCATTGCTTGAGTTATCTCCCTTCAATATTTAAAGATCAACTTACATTAAATGAGTAGGAAGTGAGAAATATTCTCAATTAAATTTTATGACTTTTTTAAAACTTCATTAACAATTGTTTACTTATAACAGTAAATCATAAAAAAAAATAACAGTAAATCATATTACACGTAAACATAACAATATCATGGCGTAAAGTTTAATTACACCTGTGATTCTCACACTGACCACACACCTGAACTGTTACAACGCGAGACTTACGACAACATGGCTTTTAATTCCTCCGCCCTTGTATGTACATATTGGCGAGAATCGTCCCCCAGCCCATCCTAACGTTTACATGTTCACATGCGTGTGTACATGTGTACTGTTCACATGCGTGTGTACATGTGTACTGTTCACATGCGTGTGTACATGTGTAATGTTCACATGCGTGTGTACATGTGTAATGTTCACATGCGTGTGTACATGTGTAATGTTCACATGCGTGTGTACATGTGTAATGTTCACATGCGTGTGTACATGTGTAATGTTCACATGCGTGTGTACATGTGTAATGTTCACATGCGTGTGTACATGTGTCATGTTCACATGCGTGTGTACATGTGTAATGTTCACATGCGTGTGTACATGTGTCATGTTCACATGCGTGTGTACATGTGTCATGTTCACATGCGTGTGTACATGTGTCATGTTCACATGTGTGTGTACATGTGTATTGTACACATGCGTGTGTACATGTGTAATGTTCACATGCGTGTGTACATCTGTAGAACCGGGCTAATTTTAAACTGCTACCCACTGGAACAATACCCAAGGCAAATATTCATGCCCTGGTTCTCACATCTTTGACGAGACACGAATAGCTCCACCAGCTGCTCTCCGTCCCCTGGTGCGTGAAGTTTTTCACCGTTACATCAGCACCTGGAAATAGCTGCCGTGTTGAGCAGGTACGTCCATGTCCTGGGGTGGAGCCGCGTTTAGTTTGTTCGAACACCACAATACCTCGTTTACCTGACTGTTTTTTTTTTGTGTACTGCGTCATGGTGTGTGTGTGGGTTTTTTTAACTTGCTTTTCTTTCTTTTTATCTGGCCAAAGTCAAGTCAAAGATAATTCAGCTCTCGCCTTATCCAAATAGTTGGCTTGTTTAAGTTTCGGCCCTCGTTTTAAATTGGGTTTGACGTCTTGGATAGATGAAACTTTTGGCTGTAATGTGGATAAAACCCACGATTTGTTAGGGTACACGCCAAGTATTAATCACGTTTATTGTTGCTGTTGTTGAGAATACACCTGCACTTTAAACCATGCTGTTGGCTGCTGTACAGCTGTCGTGGACTGTTGGGGTATTGGTGTTTGAGGTTACAGTAGAGAAAGAATAGGAGTTGATTGTTCGACTGGCTAGAGGTGATACGCGTTGTTCAGGCAGAGCTAGTCAAGGTGTAGGTAGCCAGGGCTGGTTCGGTAGCCTGGGTGTAGCCGTTGTTGGTACGGTAGCCTGGGTGTAGCCGTTGTTGGTACGGTAGCCTGGGTGTAGCCGTTGTTGGTACGGTAGCCTGGGTGTAGCCGTTGTTGGTACGGTAGCCTGGGTGTAGCCGTTGTTGGTACGGTAGCCTGGGTGTAGCCGTTGTTGGTACGGTAGCCTGGGTGTAGCCGTTGTTGGTACGGTAGCCTGGGTGTAGCCGTTGTTGGTACGGTAGCCTGGGTGTAGCCGTTGTTGGTACGGTAGCCTGGGTGTAGCCGTTGTTGGTACGGTAGCCTGGGTGTAGCCGTTGTTGGCACGGTAGCCTGGGTGTAGCCGTTGTTGGTACGGTAGCCTGGGTGTAGCCGTTGTTGGTTCGGTAGCCTGGGTGTAGCCGTTGTTGGTTCGGTAGCCTGGGTGTAGCCGTTGTTGGCTCGGTAGCCTGGGTGTAGCCGTTGTTGGTTCGGTAGCCTGGGTGTAGCCGTTGTTGGTTCGGTAGCCTGGGTGTAGCTGTTGTTGGTTCGGTAGCCTGGGTGTAGCCGTTGTTGGTTCGGTAGCCTGGGTGTAGCCGTTGTTGGTTCGGTAGCCTGGGTGTAGCCGTTGTTGGTTTGGTAGCCTGGGTGTAGCTGTTGTTGGTTCGGTAGCCTGGGTGTAGCCGTTGTTGGTTCGGTAGCCTGGGTGTAGCCGTTGTTGGTTCGGTAGCCTGGGTGTAGCCGTTGTTGGTTCGGTAGCCTGGGTGTAGCCGTTGTTGGTTCGGTAGCCT